CCTCCGTCGAAGACCGAATTGTCGGATTCTTCCTTGGTCTGAACGGATGACAGATCGCCCTTGAGATCTGGACTGTCGCTTCTCGAGGAGGCCTCCTGGGTAATCGGAGTCGACGAGACCGCCTGGACCGGCGAGTATGGCGACGATTTGATTGGCACAGGGGTGGCGGAGCGTTGTTGCTGTTGCTGCTGCTGCTGCTGCTGCTGCTGCTGCTGCTGCTGGTGATGGTGTTGCTGCTGCGATTGCTGATGATGCTGCTGTTGCTGCTCATCGGCAATCCTGAAGCTCACCATCGGACCGGCATCCGGGAAGACCGAGTCGGGCGACGCACGATCCAAGCACGTCGCATCGCGACCCTCTTGGCCGCTTCCTCTTCCTCCGCCATCACTGCCTCCGGTACCACGAAGAGAGTCGCTTCCTCGCGGTGTCCCTGGACTCGGGCTGCCCAGCAGGTACTCGCTCGTCACTCTGACCACGGGGCAGCCCGGCGAGCCCGGCATGTTCGCCTCCGGCGACAGGGTCGAGGTGTCAGCCATGCTCTCCCCTGGAGCAGGAAAGTTTATGGGTGAAGGTGCGTCCGCCGGCTGGTTCCCCTGCGGCGAGCCTGCTGATCCGAGGGATACCGGGGAGTCTGAGAAATAAGGCGTTGGTCTCACGTTTATACTCGGACACCGGAGAATCTGCAACGCGGCGGGACGTTCCTTGTGTTTCCTTTTTTTTTTTTTTTTTTTTTCTTTACTCTCGAACATGCATGAGAATAATAACGCGAAATATGTGACATTATTATTGACGCGCGTGTTATATCTGACGGTGAAATTGAATGTACAGAGAGATAGAAGGGAAATCGGCACTCGGGAATTGGAGCAAATTAATGATGTTGTACACTCGAACGACAACGGTCGCATATACGACTAATTGGCGGCGTGAGACGGAGGGTGAAGGTAAGATAACGAGCTATGATGGAACATTACATGTTGCATTTCTCTATGACGTGATGTCTTCTCTGACATTTGGTATTTCGAACTTATTCTAGATATTATTAAAAGGGGATTCTCATGTATGAAAATTAGATGAAGCTAATACTATATATATAAATATATATAAATTTTAAATATTCATAAATTTAAATTATGATTTTAACATAATTAGATATATCTTTTCGATTTATATTTTGTTTTGATATTCGAAGTTTGATTTATTTTGAATCTGGAAGTATATTATAAATCTGTATAAAATATTCCTACATACAAACAAAAAAGTAAAAAAATTGTGAAAAAAATGTTTAAAAGAAAAAGAGTTAATAATAATTATATATTATTATATTAATCTTGTATTAATATATAATTATTAATAATAATTATATATTAATACAAGATTTAAGCGACAAAAAAATTAAATAATTAAGAGAGTGTCATTTCAAAATAATATAATCGTAGTTCAATTTGTAAGCAGCATCGATGACGGATTCAAAGCACAATACATCTGATTATGCTGGTCTCAATAAACAACCGCTCGTTATGCAATCCTGTAGTTGTATCAATAATATAACATCGTGTATCGTGGGTGAAGTACTCCTACACTTTTTAAAAATAACGTTTCCATAATATATTCCAATAGATGTGCTTTCATGGTGTTAGATGCGCCCATTATCACTCGTTTTTCACATATAAGGTACTTTAAATTATATCTGCGCGAATGCACTGTTCAGCCACTTTACTCCATCACATTTTATTGTATTTTGTTTATTTTATTCGTAACAAAAGTATTAATTAAAAGTTACAGATAGCACATTCCGATACATTTAATTGGAAAATGATTATTCTTTCGAATATTTAAATCTCGAGCACTAGAAAAAATATTATAAATATTTTTAAATATATTTTCAATGAAAGATATTGTTTTTATATATTGTACTTTTATATTGCAGATTTTTTAAAATATCTAATTTTTTCTTATTTTATATGATTAATATGATTTTTTTATTACATGTATAAGTTACATGTAAGTACATATTTGAAGATAGATTATCTGAAGATAGATGAAAAAAGAAAGATCAATAGTGAAGTTTAATTTAATTCACATAATCGAACTTTTGTTTTCGTGAGATCTTTTAATTCTACCAGAATTGATAGGTTTTTGAAGGTCATAGTTTTAAACAATTGTACCGCGACTTTGATAAATTTAAATCTATTGTTATTTCGCATGTATTTATTTACATTTCTTTACTTAATTATTTTACTCATAGTTTTTTCGTATATATCAATTTGTAAAAAAGTAAATTGTGAGAAATATCAGATATTATGATGTAAGAAATATTATTATGATTCATATTAGCACAATATGAAACTTTTCTTATAAAAAGATGTGATTGTAACTATATTATTAATCTTTTTGTTTTACTAAATTTTTTTTAAAAATGTCAAAACATTAAATATATAAAATTATAATCCTTGAGAAAATAGAAATTAATATATAATAAATCTTGAATATTTATTAACAATATCCAAATGAAAAAGATTTTTGCAAATAATCACGATCGAAAGTTATGTGTTATTAGAAGAAAATAATTTTAAAAAAGTTCGATTTCCATGTCTGTCGTCTTTCTGGCGACTTCGTCTAGAAAAAAATAACTATTTTCCTCTAGAAACCGTTGTATTTCCTATAATGGAGAAGTTACGACGGTAGGTTGTAATTGAGTTAGAAGAGAGGATACTCTGAGCGAGAGTCATTAAAGTGCCCGTTTGCTTTCGATACGTTCTTAACGTTGCATTGTACCCCGCAGTGTTGAAGGATATATATTGAAATGACGTGTAATAGTAACAGTGGTAATGGGGTAGCCTTGCACCGAAGACATGCACAGTATGAAATTAATTCGATAAACAAACAAAAATATTTTACATCACATTACATGGAAGAAGTAAAAAATTTTATTCTATACATATTAATGTATGTATGATATGAGTGTCGATTGTTTATATTAGTCACGATTTGGAAAAAAAAGTTAAACATTTGAGACATAAATTTCTATGTGTGTGTTTATTTACCGCATATAGATTTCCAACTTTGTATCATGCTCTGGCGTATTTGTATAATTAAAAATTATATACATATATATATATATATATATATATATATATATA